AAAACACACATCCTATCATTTACAATCAATTAATCTGTGATTTTTTCACTACATTAATAATAATATTCTTTATTGAACAAATTATAAAAATTTATGGAAATGAAATGTTTCTTGAATTTATTCCTGCTTTTTAAATGAATTGAATTGCCTTTATTGATTAATGAATTTTCACAAAATAAATTGGTAGAATAATAATACAATTGATGCTTCAAAATTTTGGCGTCTCACTCTATTGACACTTTTACAAATTGAAAGTTTAAGATTTTTACTACCAAAAAACAAAATAGATATTTTATGAAGTACTACTATAATATTTTATACAAGGTCGTTTGGAAAATTCAAATATTTCGTTCCTTTTTCTTATTTTTTCAGTATATTTATCTTGCTAAAATTGAAAATTAAAATGATTAAAAAATCATCTTGTATTAATACCGAATTGCATCTCTATTTAGTATCCATTAATTATTATCGATATTTTTTATCTTTAATTAATACACCAGAATGGAAAAGAAACGATGGAAAACGAACGAAATGAAGATACTAATTTTTACTCTTCTGATGTACCTTCTTTTAACTCCTTTATTCTACGTACATTTCACTTTCTTACTAAAAAGTTCTTGAAAATTTTACAAGAGCACTCCACTTTGATTTTTGGATGAACGTTCTGCCGCAATTTATTACAGCTAGGTACACAAATAAAATTACTGAAGATGAGCTTAAGAAGTCTTGCTATAAGAAAGAAAATAAGAAAAATAGAAAAATACGTACGACTACTGATAAAAATGACGACTAATGGACGAAACGCTGTGTAATAGCGCATAACCAGAAGTATATTCGTCCTTCCATATGAAGAAGAAATAAAGAAAAAATTCGAGTAAAAATGAGAATATGACATAGTAAAGGTTCAAAATTCTTTCATAAAAAAAATAAAAATAAATTATTTGGAAAACGGTAGAAGATATTGTTAAAAAATCAGTAATACTAAGCAGCTGAACTACAGAATAAATATAATAGAATATCTAATATTATTTCCGCGTTGTGTATTACACGATTGCATTGAAATTTATATATTCTCGAGTTTATTTTTATGAAGATAAAATATTTATGTTGTTAATCTTTTTTTATCTCAATAAATTCATATAAAATTAATTTATATGAATGAAATTTTATCAATAAATAAATAAAATAGATAGATAGTTATAAATTCAAATTGAGAATAAATCATTATAAAAGTATCTGATTATTTCATAACGTACATAAAATTAGCAATTGTAATAAACAAAATGTCTGACAAAAACTTAAATCAATAAAGCCCCTAATTAATAAAATACTAATTGAAAATTTTACTTTAACAAAAATGCTTTTATTTGCAAGATATAAATGTTATTGTCTATTACAAAAATATACGCTAAAAACTAATAATTAATATTAATATTAATAAAAACATAAATTATATATAAAAGATTAAAAGTTAAATAAATTTAACATTGCCAAAAGTAATATAAAATATTTACAGATTTATTGAAAATGGCATTCAAAATAAAACAGAATTTCTAAGTAATCTACAAATAAATAAATATAAATATAGTATAAATATAATATTATATATTAAATCATATATATATATATATATATATATATAACAATGTATTTCAAAATAATAATAAAAAATAAGCAGGTACTATTGTTAAAATAAATACAAAATCTAAACAAGAAAAATATATGTTCGTGAAATTTGGCAAAAGAATATTTTAAATATAAAAAACTATCTCGATTGTGAAATCACATTTTATATAGCTTTTTCATTATTTGTATACATTTTTTGGGCTAATGAGTGAAAAATCATAGACTTTTTTTCATTCGCTTTCAAACGTCACAAGTCAGTTTTTTTGGACGGATAGTAGTTTTTATATTTCGGGTACGGCACACCCATGACAGTTGAATAACTCCTCACTCACACTACCTACTAAACTTCCATACATATAATTACGAAATTTTTATTTACTAAATTCAAAATATTATTATTGCTATCATTGTTATTCTGCTAATACGACCGGTTTTGAGCATCAGAATTCTAGATAACAATGAGAATTTATTTAAATAGAGACGAATACACACAAATTTTACGAAGAGGTGTACGCGCGCGCGCACACGTGTGTCGTATAACAGAAAAAATTAAAACGGTACCAATTGTCTTATGAAAGCCGATGAAAAGCAAAAGCTGTACATTTACTTATTTCTCCCTTTATACTCTTACTACGTATTTCTTCTCCCTCCTGTCGCTACATGCTCTCCCTCAGTCTCTATCCCTTCCTCTCGTCTCTTCTGACCGATTTTCTTAGCCATATTGCCTATACAAAGACGACCCATACGAGTAGTATAGTAAGAACCATTGTTACAGCCCGTCCCCCTCTTTACAGTGGCACAGTTGCCGACTTTCCGTTCTTCGTCTCTTTACGGATACTGAGGATAGTCGGCTCGGTCGAAAAATCTGTTTTCACGTGATTCGTGGTATTTGCGACTCTGGGTCTATACAATCACATGGTCGTTCTCTAGATTTCTGCATATATATATATATATATATATATATATATATATATTCGTACGATGACGTCACTAACTAAATGTCTTATTAGCTACTCAACAGTTGTGCTTCGCATGGCAAAAACAGCACTGCTAATTTGTACTCTGCTTTTTCAACTTTAACTCCTCTCGTCGACAAACTTTTCCATTTAATTGAAACACTCATTTTTCGTGATAAGCATAATTATTTTCAGAAATTTTAGTGTTTGTTTTTGATAAAAATTAAGTGCTCGTAATCGCGCATATAAAAACCGTTGGTAAATTTGTAGAATTCTATGCTCTCTTTGCTAATGTATTTTGGTATAATAATAGACTATCGATTAAAAGAATTGTTTTCAATTTTTGCCTTTTTTTGCATACATCGACCGAAATCTAAAATAAAATTTTAATACATTTTACTGGGTATATTATGCGTATTAAATATAAAGTAATTAATATTAAGTAATATTAAGTAATAATATTAAATATAAAGTAAAGTGTAAACCCAGTGGGGCTCGAATTATTATAAATATAGTATAATTATTCAGTACTGTTGGTAGTTTCAGTAGCGGAACCACGTAAGAATTTGCAAACGTGTAGACCAGTCGAATTTAAATCCTTGCCGCCCTTCACCGCAATGAATTCAATTTTATTTCAAAGAAATCAGCATCTCTTTATGAAGCGAGTCTACTGCAACACTGTCATGCTTGCGAAAAAAACTAATTTAATATCAACAGCGTAACAAGATTACGCACAGTGTCTCTGCGATGATGCAATCTCCCTTTATTCGAAAGTGATTAGACTTCGGAGAAGGGGAGAATTGCGCGCAACGTGCGTCAAACGTGCCTCAACCGAGTGGAAAGTCGTATGCGGGGACAGAAAAGGAGGAGAAAGCCGATGGGAAGTCTATATGAAAAGAGTCCCGTAGGTAATTTCTGGCGAAGTAAGGCAAGCGAATGAGAAATCAAGCAGGTGTAGTAGCCTCGACCCTCTCTTTGCCCCCCCCTCCGACGACGACCTCACCCATAAAGTATTAGACGGGTCTTAGCGGGAGGCGCTTAACGGTCCGAGGAAAAGGGACCGCCGTCACCTCTGCGCATTTTCGCAATACAGGATTAGATATGTGTGTACCTTTCTCGAAAATGTTGATTAGCTTTGGCTACACTGGATACGAAATTGAAAATGTCTACCCCATGGAGAATGGTAAGCAAGGCTTTGAATCATCATACGTCCATTGGAGTCTTCAGAAACATTTTTTAAAATGAATGTATACTCTTCATATTTTTAGATTTATCTCACTAATCGAGTAAAATTTTCAAATTTGTTTATAAGAAATTAATATTTCATTATATGAAAGGTAACTTATTATATCTCTAATTTGGATTAAATTGATGCTTATAAAATGTTAATGTGAAACAGGAACTCATATTAAATTATACAGTAACATTATTAAAATTAATCAATTCATATTCAAGTTATAAGTCCTCGTTATACTCTTTGAGCCTTTAGCTATTAATATAAGATTTTTGTAAATTACATCACTATTAAAATAATATAACTAATAGCAATCTAACTATTGCGCATAGAGTGCTTATAGTTACTTGGGATAAACAAACGAATCTTGTTATATGTAACTTAACTTTATTCGAAATTAAAATGATTTAATATCAAATTATATCAAAATCATAAAAATATCACTTAAATTTCATTATAATACTCTTGAGATTTAGGTCTGGGTATGTATATATATATAATTTGATCAAAATTCAACTTACACTTGTCCATCAATATATTATTTAGCAATAATAAATTGTTTATTAAAAATCTTGATTCTATTTATAAAAGATATATACTGTTTTAAATAATAATGCATACTTTGACATTTGGCTAAAAAGCTTGTATTTATGATCTTGTTAATGTATTCAACAATTACAAAAATTCTCTTTTTGTCCCTTTATTTTATTGGATTTTATGTAATAGTTCAAATTAAATATTCACTATTTAAATATAATTTTAATCAATTTTATAAAAATTACTTATGTTTTAAGCAACATCAGTCCCTAGCATATTAATAATGTCAATGAAAGAATCAATGATAAATTATAACATTTGATAAGATATATTACATATTTATAACTGTACATAATTCTCTAAATTTTTCTACCAAGAATGAAATTTTATGGATATCTATATCAGATTATAAGAAAGCCTAGCATTCATATAGCACATGGAATAAAAAAATTGGAAAATATATAAAAAGCATTGGAAAAACATTTTATTACTTATACTATATTAATATTCGAAACATTATTATTATGTGTAATAAATTCATTGTAATCAAATAAAACAATCTGTTTGCAAGGATTTGGAAAATTCAAATAAATTAAAAATAAAAATCTATGACTAATAAATAAAATTAATAACATAAAAAAATATACCTTTCTTGGGTGATGGTTTTGTTGGAATGGAGGGTACCCATTTGTAATATTGTCATACATCATGAACATACTATGATTAAGTCGACTAAATTTTGCGTTGTACGACAAATTACTTTACTTTATAATCACAAATTAAGATACTGAAATAAAAAGAAAAGAAAAAACATGTAAAATACTATGCAAGGTACTATGCAAATATGTACAACACGATGCCTCGTTGCCATTTTATAAATTATCAATATGTATACGTAGTTGTGATATATTTGACTGTACATTATAAAAAGGGATCGAGAAAGCTATAAAAAAGTTGGAAGAGTATGGCAATGCATGCTTAATGGTATCTTGTACAAGTGCTCAAGCGAAGCTAACAAAAATGTAGTAATACTTGCAATTAAAGGCTGTAGCAAATTAATTAAAATAAAAGTAACCGATTTTAATTTCAATGCAGTTAATGATAATTTCAACACATATTTACTGATGATAATAAAAACTATTAAACACAACTAATTGTATAGATCCATCAAAAGTTTCATTTGAACATGCATGCTCAAAGATATCAAATTATAAAATGCGTATAACGTATGAGTCCAAGATAGTCGATTACACAATAAGCAACGTCTCAGTTAAGATTTGTTGAAACTATTGAGATCGTAATAGCTAAGACGTCAAATTGTGATTGTCGATCCGTAGAAGTAGCGATGGTAGAGCAATAAGAACGACAACGACGTCGACGACGATGAAGAAAACGCGACGGAGACAACGACGGCAGCGACGGCGGCGGTGACGACGTCGGGAAAAACAGGGACCAACCTAGGTTGGACGCATGATGGAAAGGTTCAAATTCGCGCGCCTCCTGCATCGAACGGCGAACGCGAACCGAAGCTCGTGTGCGCCTGTGCGAGCCAAGATGGCCGCTACCGCTCAGGCCACGAGGCACGCCGCCGCAATCAGCCGCCAAAGTCAGCGTTCACTAGCCGGTAGATGAGGAGACGAAATCCCGGCAACGAGACTGGCGCGTGTTCAATTATCCTGATCTCTGGACGCTTCCGACTCGACGCTCTCTCGCCTCAGCAACGCTGACTGTACCCGACAAGGTCTAGTCGTATTGTCGGTCGGTCGCTTTCTCGACCTTGGCCGCCGAAATTTCGTAAGCGCTCGAAAAAAGAAGTCGAAGGTCAATTAGGAAGAGTGAACGCCGTACGGCCTTAACGTAAAAGTGGCTGATACATGAATGCGCGCATGAGACGAGAGCGTGTCGAATCCAGCGCGAAATACATAACCTCAACGTAGCACATCAACACAACGTACCAATCGATAAATTCCTTCTTAACGATAAACTACGACACTACGCGGCGACCGTACGTCTCTCCCCCGTGCAACAAAGAAGCGCGATCCGCACACAAGCACACACTCACGCACGGGCACAATGAAGTGGGCAAACTCGAGGCCGGAAAACTTGCGGAGAGCGCTGCTCGTCGGTGCAAAAACTGGCCGGGTGACGAGCGACCAAAAAACGATATCCCGTATATACGTATATTGTTTTAAAAAGACGCCACGGCTGCGGAGGTGAAGCCGTGAGGAGAAGAGCGGGAGGGAGGAAGCGAGCGAGAATGTGGAAGAGAGTGGGAGAGCAAGGGTGCGCGCGTATGTGTGCAGGAATGGCTGCGTCGGGAGCGAAAAAGTACGTGCGTGCGCGCGCGCGCGCGCGCGTGTATATGCGGGTGTGCGCGCGCGTGAGAAAGAGAGAGCGAGGGGAGGGGATAGGGAGAGATATAGTGGGTGAGTGCGGTAGAGCGAGAAAGAGAGAGAGAGAGAGAGAGAGAGAGAGAGAGAGAAAGATGGAGAATGAGCGAGTGAGCGAGTGAGGAGGAACTCCGCGCGTGCGGCACCGACGGCGAAACGAGTCGAACTGACGAACCCGCGCGTTTTTACGAGCCTCGTCGCACGAGTGCGAGTGCGAGAGAGACGGGGATAAGGTAGGCCGAGGCTGCTTCGAGGAAGGGCAGTTGGTCGGATGTCGAGAGGCGTCTGGGGCTTGGGCTCTGCCCGCTCCCATCTACCTACCTATACGCTTTATTGGACGCGTCCGAAACGAACAAAAAAAAGTGTAAACACGGGGAACGACGAGCAGCCGCGTCGCGCTCCTGCACAATCGAGCGGCTATCGGCGCTATTCCGCGAATTTCAACCGCGAAAGAATAGGTTAAACAATGAAAGCTCAGCCGGAGCCGACGATTTATCGGCTTCGTTTTTATTTCTCGTGCCGAGACGACGAGTGACGACGAGGAGCGGCGCGGCCCATGAGTTGAGTGATAGAGTGAGAGAGTGAGAAGAGCGAGAAGAGTGACGACGACGCCTATGCCGAGACTCTTATTTCAGCGCGCACTCGTAACTTTCCTCGAAATGATTCGATGATGCATTTGTGGGAGGTGTCACTTTGTTTGCTCTACCGTTATTAACATTACGATTATTACGATTACGGCCATGATGCGTCGCTCGCATATTACCTACGACAACTACTCATTTCCCACCTTTATGGATTTATTAAAATTGAAAACGTAAAATTTTTATATTTTCAACCGACAAATTTTATACGTTAAACGCCACTATATTATAATCCAAATAGTCAACGATTAATCATCGATAAAAATAATTGCCACGTTAATAGGTACGCTTTATTTACATGCTTGTTTGTTACAGTTTATGCCCATAACAATCGTTTCGTAAAATATCGAATAATCAACAAGATTATTAACGTGTCTTATCGTATCAATTGCACTAAATATTTTTACGACGCATAATAAATGATTTTTGGATAATCGCACTTAAAAAGCAATTTTATGAAGTGTGAAGAAAAATATCAGTTCATATATAGCATTTTAATTTTCCATTGTATTTTATAAAATTATCTCCTATGAAATATATATTATAAGCTATTATTATTATCGACGTTTTTATTTCATTAGTGCATTGGCTTATGTCGACGTCGACGTCGACTTTTCTAAATAAACACTAGCTTAACGTCCTCTTAGGCTTAAAAATAAAATAATTTAAGAAGCCCGTAGTTCGTTCCAAATTTAATAAAAATTCTTTATCTCCAACAGTATATAGTGAATTAAATAATTTGATGAGATTTTAAAAGAGTTTTTTAAAAATGAGATTGCAAATTGGCTTTTTACTTACTGCGTGATAAAAATCATTTATGATCTAACTTCGCAGCAGTCCGCGTTACGCGTCGAGAAACTAAAGAATTCCATGTGACTCATTATGACCTCGTAGTCCATCGATGAAAATGACATTACAAATAAATTAGATTACTAAACGATTAAAATTATTTTAATTTTTCTTTCGTCGAAAGAACGAAAAAACTCCGCAATTTCGATTATTCGGGGAGAAAATTAATTTAATATTATTTGATTATTGTTGATTATTTAACAATAAAACATGTATTTATATTTACGTTAAATTTGAATTTTTATTGTGGTGCCTCTTTTAAATTCTTTCATTACATTAGAAATAATTTAAAAAACAAAAATTATTTCTCATAAAAGTAAAGAAATATTAACTTCAGCTCATAATAACTTTTCACAGATGTTAAAAAAGTTTTATTATTATATTAATGTAATATTTGATTTATGTAATTTATGATCAAATTGAAACGCAAAGAGAAAGTAAACGGTACATTTTATAAATAATGTTGAAAAAATTAAACTTTTCTTTTTTAAATATATACAATTTAATTCATTCTAATAAATTTTAGTTGCATTGACGTTCTTTTTTCAAAAACTTTGTTGAAAAAAATTGTAAATTCATTTACGGCTGCCAAAACAAACATAAACTTTGCGCTTTTTCAAACAAGACTTTTTTATTTTTTAATCTATTGATCGTATCATAAATATAAGAATTTTAGTTTTCACGAACTAAAAGTTCAAAACGGTACCATTTTATGTTTCAAAAAAATTTTAAGTAAAGAGTAAACAAAGACGATTAAAACGTCGGTTAACGTTTCAATTTCAAATACTATTCAAGTATTTAAAATTTTTCCAATGATATTAAACAAATGCCTCTTTTTAAAATTTGAACTATGTAATAATAATTTTTTTGCTGGTTAGTTCAAACATGTATTACTAACATTGTTTTCAAAAATAAAAAAAAACTCATTCACGGGCAAAAGATTACATATATTTATTTTTACATGATATAAAAAAAATTTATAAAACCAAATCTTTTAAAAAAGAATTTAAAAATTTTTTATACCAAATTTATTTATATGCATGGCATATATCAAATATATTTAAGAAACTAATTTGTTCATAACATATTATGTATCGATTAATTATGAATGTAGTAATTAATTTTATTTTTTCAGTAGCTCAACATGTTAAAACAATAACGTATAGGAAATTGTTGGAACAAACATATTACATCTATTTCGTATCAAAAACCTCAAATTTCCATATATATTTTATGCAATAAAATTATATTTCCTATTGTTTAAAGAAAAATATATAAAACAATATATATATAATATATTAAAGAAACGCAGAACCGCATTCTTGGCAAAAACGTATCCTCGCTACAACAAGACAAAGAGTAAAGCAGTTAAATATGTGGAAATTAATAATCTCGAAGCCTGAATATATGAGCATCAGAGTATGGATGTAACGCTACCAGCGAAGAAGCACGAAGCCAAATTGTGTAAATGATAAAAAATTTTAGAAAGATTTTAAATTTTCTTGATAATAATGAATGTAGACTTCATTATAAATATATTCTTCAGAAATTCTAAAAAAAATTTCAAGCTTAGTTACAACGCAAAAGCAAATATACTTTTCAATTAACATACAGAATACATTTAAAATGAATATTATATAATATATACTAATATAATATTATAAGTTAGAAATTTTTTTTTAAACTAATTAGTTAACTTCTGATTTTATATAAAAACAATGTAATGTTTTTTATTAATATTCGAATAATAAGTGCAATTGATACTCTACTGAAGATGTCAATCGAATTAAGTTTAATACTGTAATTTTTCTAAAATTATATTTGACGAAAAAAAACTAATTACTTCTATAATAATTTATATCCTCGGGTAGGGTTGTTTATGACTTTAAGTCAAAAAATAAGTTATTTCAGTTATTTATAATATGTATGGACAAAATTTTATAAAAAATATTTTCCACTGTTTAATATTATTATTATTTGTAATGTATTACCATAAATTACAAAGAAAATGATTAACATGATATCCATAAAGGCATAAATCCATAAACCTTTTCTTATAAAAACAGTTATATTTCTATATTCTGAAATGTTTCATTTTACAAAATAATTTTTTTAAAAAAACATGCATTTAAAACAAATTCAATATTTATTCAATAAATATTAACAAATTTGCATCTATAAAAATGTATCCTTACGTAAGTACGTTGAATTCATTTAAAAATTTGTGTTAATTTTTTTTTTTTTTTTTTTACTATATTAATTAAAAGTTTGAGGTTTCATGGAATTTTAACACAGGTTTCGGATATAGATTATTTAATATAAATAATTTACTTATTTTGTCCTATGTATTCAGTTATCGATAAAAAAATTGTTTTAATTACAAGATGCAATTCATCAAAATTGATCATGAAAGAATTCACTCAAACTTGTTTAAAATATTCTTAGATAAAAATGATAGCATAAAATTTTGAACCAACATTTAATGTTAGTCACATATGCAATGAGATTTTTCTATTTTCCTAGAAAACGATAATATAATGAGGCGTTCAATGTGAAATGCTAAATAGTATTAAACAGGTTAAATAAATATTTTTATTCCTTTTGAAGAATTATAAATTAATATTATAATGTAAGGAATAACTGGTATATTAATTTTTATTTGGATGAAATTATTTAAAAAAAAATTCAGCTTACGATTAAAAAACTGGAAAGATTGAAAGAAATTTTTAATAAAGATTTATATGTAAATATCTGTATAAATTTAAACCAATCTGACAGAATAAAATACAACAACAAATTTTTATTTTAAGTATAATATTTTAATATATTATGTAGTGTTAATTACAATAAAAGGTTATCAAATTTATTTATGTTATCGTGTTTATTATAATAAGTAATGAATTATTATGAAAAATGTAAATTATGAATCAATTAGTAAGATGAAATTTTCTAATATATCACTTTAAAAAATATTAAATAAATTTTTAAATCATAAACTTCATCGATTTTGTTAAAAAAAAGTGTATAAAGATACATGTTCATAAAAAATGAAACTATAAAAATATATTTTTATTTATTTGAAAAAAATGCTAGCATGAGTTAAGTAATATTCAAACAAATTAAATTCTAAATAGCAACGATGAAAAACGTCTTCTAGATTATATGACTCCACCCGTGTGATATTACATTACGGTATTCATTTCATTAGCAAATGAGCAAATTGTGATTTGTCGTCATTCTCATAATCATTCATATTTAGCTTCTTTAATAAGCTCCTTAACAAAAAACAAAATTTGTTTAAATCGATAAATTTAATTTTGAACCTATTTAGATTAACATTTAAATGCAATGCAAACTCTCAACATTAATCA